AGGACGTTTTACTCAGTGAATGTGCACTAGCTCTTTAAAGCAACCATGCACCGGTGAACGGCTTATATTGCCTGCCAGGGACAGGTGAAAGCTGTGATCCCTGGTTGATTGAATATTATTAAATCCACTTAAGTCACAAAGGGAAATATGTGCACGAGGAAGTGAAGAGAAAATGCAAAAAAACATTCTCAGTATATAATTGAGGCATGGGATGAGTATTGTCGGTGCGACTCAACAGAAGGTCGATGAGTTTCTGATATTTTGTGCTCTGAATAGCTGTAGTTGAGGTCACCAGCTGCACACACACCGACTCACTGTAAGCCACTGTGAAGCAGCAGTTTAATGACTCAAATGTAATTTAAAGTATGAGCCTCAAAGTCTCAACATTTACATTTATATTGCATATAAAGCAGTGATGCTTTTTGGATTATTCATTTCCATCTTTTGATTATTATTTACATATCTGATACTTAACTTGCACTGGATTTATCCACCTCACTTCTTTAACAGTTTATTTTGAATAAAGTTCATGTTGTTTTGATAAGGAATGTGTGGTTTTTAAAATGCAGACTGAAGTGGCTGTATATTCTGTCTTTGCACATATTCTTGTACAATACTTCCCTAATGTAAAACAGCTGTCCTGTAGAGATTTTAGGGCGGCAGTGACTTCATGATGGTGGGACATGATTTAAGCCAAGGGATGATTGGAGATGGCATTTTTGAAATGTCAAAAGGGTTGAGAAGTGCAGAGCTGCCAGTTGGCTTATCTGTAGTTTGTCCTTGCACTGTATTATCACACTATCAGGGGTTTAGATTTTATTTCATGGGGGGATGGGATAGGGCTATGGAGAAAATCAAATATCATGATGTTTTAGACCAAATACCTCGATATCGATATTGCTACGATATGGATTGAACATTGGTGCTTCAACAGATTTTCCATAAGTATTGATCAATAATGTGGATATAATGACTAAGTGAGTAAAGGTAAATAAAAGAACAGACAGAACTTGTAAGTTCAGAAAATAGCATCCATTTACTCCACTGTGGTCTCTAAAACCAGGAAAAGACAACACTTATGCCATATTACAATATTACAATATCCAAAATCTAAGACGATATGAAGTCTTATATCACAATATCAATATATTATCAATTTATTGCCCAGCTCTAGGATAAAGGGTGGGTACTTCCCGCTTCTGCCGTAAGGCAAACAATTGAGAATATCAGAATGAAACCATGCCTTTGTTTGAGCTGTAACTGCATATTCAGATAAAAGTAGCACTATATATTTTATTCAGTGTATTGCAGAGTAAACGAAGAGACTGCACTGTACTGGAGGTCAGTGTGAATCCAATTATCTCTTGATATTTCGAGATGCTTGTCTACAGTACAGGCACATATATGCCTGCATTCTATATGTTATTATGTTCCACCAAAATATTATTGACAACCCGCCACACTCCCCGTCTTAACTTCAGGCTGTTATCAAGAGCTGCAAACTCTCAAATCTTCACACCTTTGAAGGTGTAGGAACAGACATCGGATACTTTATTTCTGAAGTATTTCAAGGCTAGCACAATATTAATGTCAATGGACAATCCTGCAGAACCTTGATTTATGTTCAGTGATGACGTTTTTTAAAGTTCAATGTAGGGCGGCAACAACTAAAAGATTATTAAACAAAGGTAGTTGACAACGAATTTTACCATCATTCAACCGACTCAAATTTGAAGTAATATTTTCTTAATAAAATGCTGGAAGTGAGACTTAAAAAATAGATAAAAAATTAAGCCTTTTTTATCCAATTAATCAAAGTAATAATCGGCAGATTAATCAATTATCAAAATAGTTGGGGTTAGGGTTAGTAGTTCAATGTCAACTTTTAAAAACATTCTTTCTACAATATTCGCAAATGGCAACTACGGCATGATTAAAGCTGCTCTGTTTAAGTTTTTTATTTATTTATTTTTTATTGACCAAATGACTACATGCAAAGTGAACGGTGTTGCTCGTAGGGAGAATTGACACCTGACATTTTAGTGTCTTTCAGCTCATTGTTTGGTTTTACAGACTGCAACTTTACTGCTTTGGTCTCATTGCATCAAACTCGTTTCCAGTCACAGTAGGCAGCTGTTTTCTGCAGAAAAACCTCTGATAAACCCACTATATGTAATCTACTCAGCACAGCAGACGGGCACAATTACCGACCTGCTGGTGAACATGGAGGAGCTAAAGTCTGAAATATTTCCCTCCATAAGTTAATGGAAGCCAAAACCGAGCTAGACGCAGAGTGAATAGTGGACATTCATCTGCTTGTCAGAATCACGTTATGTAATCCCTTTGGATGCTGGGCTGGAATACTGTTACATTTCTCTACTTTTTAGGCGATAAATTAGCTCACTATGAAATGTTGTGTCCATAATTGTGGAAGTGCCTCTGGGGGAGGGGTATTTGCTCTGAAAAAGGGCTCCACAGGGAGAACTCGAGTACCACTAGAGAGATCCCACGAGGCCCCGTTCATAGGGGTCCATAGGGGGTAAAGGCCAGTGAACGATTGGTGAATAGTGGGCAGTCATTACTCTCCAGCTGCTCCCACTCTGACGCTCTCCTGCTGGGGAACATTACGGCGTTTTTTACTGTACAGCTGCTGGCAACTGTAACAATAATTCATACACGGGGAGATTTAAGTCTAGATGCTCACATACAATTGTCCATTTCTACACTCATGTACACACGTGTATTACTGTAGGAACACCGAGTCTTCTTCCGGTCAGAAAACAAACGGTAGGGTGGCAGGCAAAAAAAAGAAAGAAGAAAAATCACCTTTACAAGACAAATTTGTGCATGTGCATTCATGCAAACACACAAAGACACATATATGCATGGACACACCGATTACAGACACAAACAGATGTCTGGAGACATACGCCTACATGCTTCACACACATACGCATGAACACACAGACTTGCTTAGAAATACAGATGTGAGCAGACACGTGAACTTACTCGTACATCTGGAGTGTACGCTGTTTTCAACTCATGGAGGCACTTTCGTGGAGATTGAAAGACGCACAGTTTTGTTCTTCAAATATGCGCTACTGTACGTGTACAAATAGAGGAATCTATTAACGGAGCGAGGAGGAGGTTTTATGGTTATTGCTTGTAAAATCTCTTGTCATGATTAAACATTAGCCCAAGAGAAGTCTGCTTTACACAAAACATACAAAAGCACCATTTCTACCTCTAAATTTAAACCAAGATATCCATTTTGGATTATAAATGTCACACTGTAGTGTAATAATGACTTTGCATTAGATTTGCCTCGTTGTGAGGGCTGGACAGCAGTGGAGTCTGACAGATTATTACTGCTGAGATACACCGATTAAAAACCAAACTGAGTACACAAGCCCCTTTCTGGGGAATATGTAAATACAATTTTCACAGTTATTTTTTTTCAGCACTTATAACCTGCTGCTTGTTTTGTATAATATTGTATACAATTGTTACTCATATTAATTTCATCCTCTTTGCCAAGTCGTAAATAGGCTGAAGCTAATTTCAGCTGTCATGTGCCATTATGTGTTCGTATGCTTAAGTAGAAAAAAGGTCTGAAAACAAGCTGTATTTAATTTCTTATGGAGACCTACATGATCCTCCACATAAAAGAAGTATTACAATTGACATTCTAATATGAGATCTCGCAGCAATGTCCAATTGTTTTGCTTCAGCAGAACACTTGGAGTGAACAGCCTGTTGTTGCTCTGCTATTTAATAATCACCATTACTCATTTCCGTAGTACATTTCTTTTCTTATTCTAAGAGCGACCATTGAATAGCTTTTGTTTGTGATTGCAGTGAGTTTTAATCACGCTTTTTCATTGGGAGTGAAATCATGTTGCAGCTACTAACAAGTCATTATGTTTGAGAGGAAAGCAGTGAGGGAATTAAGTTGACATATGTCAGGAGCCCTGCCTGTACTTTGATGCCGTGTTTACAGCAATTAGTGGGAATCAATTTCAATTCTTCCACCTAACACAAGAGATGGGGGAAAAAAAACAGGAACTGCATTGTGAAAATGCAAGTCGTGAAAGTTTGTTGATTATGTTGCGGGTAAAATGATCCAGTAGTAAATGGCAAGAGGTTTCTACACCCTTGAGCAACATTTGATTGTTGCTATTGATCGGTGTTTGATTCAAAGCCACCATTAGGTAGAAACTGCGGTGAATGGAAGGGCGATGGGGGTGAATAAATCCAAGCGATAGTCCCTGACATATTAAATTTATAGAAAAATACAAGGCATATTAGAAGGGAATGAAGAAAAGAAAGAAGCATGATATTTCTCTTTTTTTGTCTGTGTCATGATATTTTACCTGCCCAGCCAATTCCTCCATTTAGTGCTGATGACCTAAATAAGCAGTGAGCCATCTTTGCGTCAAAGCTACATCAGTTGTTTTATCTCAAACAAGGTCATGGACGAACCTAAACACACTAAATCATATTACATCTGAAACAGAGCCCTGGAGCCCATCATAAATATTTGAATACCTACATCTTGCAATATCAGGTCATACTAGCACCATACCATGAAATACCCAGTGAGTGAGTAAGTTTATGGTGTGTCAGCTTAAGATAAATAGCTTGTTTGCAATCACGCGCACAATTCAGATGGAGGGCAGGAGGTGAAGAACCTATATACAGCGCAAATTGGAAATTCGCCTCCTACAACACGGCTTGACAGATGAAGGCGTACAACAGTCTAAAGGCTTAGAACCATTTTGTGAGCGGTTGGGTCCACGACTTCGGAACTAAATTCAAAATTGAATGCCTGCCACCTTGTTTTTGCCCGGGTAGCTAGCATCGCTAAAAACGAATCTCCCAGTAGATAGCTAACTAGCTTTCTCCCGCTAGCTAGTTGACTGCCGGGAGATAGCTATCTGTGTTTTTGTCATTGTTTTTATGTGGGAGAAAGCTAGTTAGCTATCCACCCCATGATTTGTTTTTTAGTGATGCTAGCTACCCGGGCAAAAATAAGGCAGCAGTCGTTTCCATTGTGGAACCCAAACAAAAAAGCCAATAATTTTCTGGCTCATGCCTATATAATTATGAGAAGTTTTTGTTTTGATACAGAGTAACTAAACCCCCAAATGACATTATTACCGCTGAAAATTAATTTTAATGAGTATTTAGTTTTGTTTTTAATGGATGTAGGTCCTCATCTTGACATTTTAGTGCAAAGTATTCAAATTCTACATATTGTGTTATAAATATGCATAGGGACGGCAAATAAATAGGTCATGGAATGTTGTGATCTGTGAATAAGTCAAACAGCTGTGAAAGCGCAAAGGAATTAGATGTCTTAGCCGTGGTATGTGGGTATTATATCGGCTGTGAACCAATCAGACTGCTTGATTTCAGCTACGTGTTTTAAACCTGTTTGGCAAGGGCTATAATGTAGCAGACGTTCATTTTTCTTTAGCTAATTAGGAAATGTTAAACTAAGAATATGAACATGGATAACGTCATGCTGATGTTAGCATTTAGCTCAACACACGGATTGTATTATGTTTATGATACATCAAAACTGTAAAGGGATGCAGTAAAAAGTTTACATTGTCACTTGCAGTGTCCCTTAAGCCTATGTTGTTTTTTACAAAAAAGGTTTGTCTTTCAATTTTCATTTTTACAATAGTTCATTGGTTTGCTTGCAGTATTTCTTTCTTTTCCCAGCTGACACACAGTCATGATCCTTGACTGTGTGTCAGCTGTCAAGTGTCAAGGTTGTTTTCTACCTGACATTTAACAACACTAACAAGAGGATAATTACATCATCCTGTGTTACAATCAGGCTTTAATTATCCAGACTAGAGTGCCGTTAATTGTTTGTTTCCAGCAAACAAAAGGCAAAATGCAAACAATGAAACATTGGAGGGTTAAAGGTTATTGTCAGCAGAAATTAGCCACTTTAAGTCACCATTTTACCTTCTGGATGGAAGTAGAAACAAGTGAAACTGACAGTCGTGGTGCTACTCCTGTCCATAATTCCAGTATAGTTTTTGCTGCCTGCCTGTGCTGCAGAGTAAGTAATGATACAAATAGTGGAAGTTGTCAAATAAGGGATAAATTAAAATGCGATCACACACGTTATTCGTAAGGTATTATGCTGTACGGCTTTAAGGGTCTAAATTTGTTTCTATTGGCCTTAAACAATTTAATTTGAGGTCCAGAAAAGCAAGATATAAGTTCAGTAGTTCTGAAGTGAAGCGGTTGATGAGTTTTTAGTGAGACAGATCAGTTTGAGAGAAGATCTTCAGTCATAAGTGGCTGGATTGTGCTGTAAATCCAGTTATATTCTCATTTAAAATAACGCACTACAGGCTACTGCTGAAGTCATGCGAGTGTTAGTTTAGGTAAACATGTATTGCGGTTGTGTTGCTTCCGTCTCCTCAGACGATGTACTTCATCCGCACCAAACAAAGTATTTTTTAAGAAAAGAGATTGAATGATGCTAATGTGTAAACATAATGATCTGAGAACTTTTATTTGCAGCACCTCTGGTCCTGTTCAGAATTCACTGGCACATTCCAACAACAGAAAATATTGAATCATTCATAACTGTCTCGTTTCAAACGGGCTCCGTACTGGAGTTGGCGTCGCTAAACAAGTCAAATCATTCACTTCCCTCTCTGGCACAAACACTCAGAGCCCCCGCAGCAATGTTCACGGACACAGTGAGAAATAAAAGAGTATTACGCTCACAAACACATAGTACAGCAGCTACAGGTAAGAAAGTTACTGCTTTTCTGATTATTTCCTTTCCAGTCCAAGAGCTCGTATTTGCTGATAAGAGATCCAGGACTATTTATATGAATGCCTACTGTAGCTTTAGCAATAACCGATAAAGTGGTGTGACAGAGTTTGACAAAGGTCAACAGTCTTGATGGAGAGGACAAATAATGTTGAGGTTTATCATGTGTACTCTGATTGCCACATGATTTCTAGATAGTGCTGCTGGACACGTAAGAATCATAGTATTTGTCCTGGATGTCTGAGCAAAAGGAGCTCTATTCTGTCCATTCTGTCTCTTCATAATTCCTGTCTTCATCAGAAATAATGTTTCTCTTTCGGTCACTTGAAGAGAGTGGCATTGAAGCCCATATACTCAAGGAGCTTTCCAATAATTGTGTGTGCTGAGAACAGAGAAGACACACAGTTCACTGGTTTACTCCGAGCAATTTCCCTAACACCATTTCAAATACGAGCTTCTGTTGACAGTACAAATCTTCAAGGTTACTGACAAACTTCATGTCTTGTTGTATCATACATATCTGCAGTATATTTTCATAATAACTCTTGAAAATGGATATAGTTGGATAGCTTAGAGCTGCGTTATTCCACAAAAGCGACACTCTGACTTAATTTCGGCTTGATTTGATCGACAATGTACAAATGTACAGACTGACCTCGGTCTGCAGAGGTCTCCCATAGTCTGAGTGAGAACACTGGCAGGTGGAACTGGACCACTTGGGACACAAAAATAGAGAAACAGAATTGCTGTACATGTTTAGTTGGAGCAGTAACGCCGCACGGTCCGATTTTCCCTCTGAACCGACTGGTCCTCCCATCTGCTTGGTACTAGGAAGGTCCTCAGCACGCTCCCCTGCAGTCTTTAGTGTCCATTGTTGAGCAGATGAAGGAGCAGCAACAGAAGGCTGAAGGCAGCTTGAAGCAATGAGCTGGTAGGTGAAGCAGAGTTTGAGAGGCTGTTGGATGACAGGGTGGACTGGCCCACTAGTAATTCATTTCCCAGGGCCTGGTAGGAGAGAAAGACATCATTTTATGTGCTGTGTTTCAAACAGACCTTTTGAGTTCCGAGGGATTATCATAACTCATTGTGGAAATTTCAGCTCTGAAGGTTGGGATTAAAAACAGGGCAAAGGTAACAGTCTGACTGCACAATGTTGTTGTTTTATGAGACGGTCACTGTGTGAGATTAGACGACCATAGCCATAAATTCTTGCCATGTCTTGGCCGAGAAACAGTGCTATACATTGGACTTTGAAGAATTATTGCTTGCTATTTTTTCCCAGCTTGAAATATACGTATATAGGTGGTCTTTACAGTGCCATGGATGAACACTACTGTTCCACTATACGATGTGGACAAACTCTTTTATCCTGATTTACGTCATTCATATCTCGAGACTGATATGTATCACTATATAGCATGTTTTAATAAATAGCCTATTGTATAATCCTGTGATCATTTAATACTTGACAAATACAAAAAGTAAAGATTATTTTCTTATTCAATTAACGTAACCGTTTTATGGGAACTTGTAGAGAAATAAAGTACTTCCAGTTATACACTGATTATGTGTACATGCATACACACAAATATAAAGCAATCATATTATGTTTTTTATGTTTTTTTGAATAAGAGTGAAGCTTTGAACCATTCATCGTCACTTAGTCACTGTTTTTCTTTCTGCAGCATATACAGTACCTGTGGACAGAGGGTAATGTTGCACCCACGGCATGATTCATTTGGAATAATGCTCCTGACCTGAGGGTCGCAGGTTTCCTCAAAGAGAGTAAAACATCATTCCTCATTTGATTTGCCATGTTACCACCAGTCTAATTTGTTGATCTCAGCATGGCCTTGTGTTAGGTAGTGCTCACTGCCTACACATTGTGGTCACTTTTGCGCCACATATGCGTCTCCCGTCAATAGATATTTTTATCTGTGTGCGTCTTTCTCTTCAGCTATATCGTTGTTTTCAAATGTGAGTTGGAAGTTAAACAGTCAGTCAAGTGGTAGTATGAAAAAGATTGGATGGCAGACAACAGTTCATGCCACTATTAGAAACACAGAGAATGAATGAAAAAAAAAAAAATAGAAGAAATCCAACCATAGTGACAATAAAAACTGCAAACCTGTGTTGGTATTATTGCATCCAGAATGTTCCTCATAGTTTCTATGGTGTCTGGTGGAGATGCGGTGCTCCTGTTTTCTCTGCTGCTGTGGCTGGAGCTGGGTGTACTGGACTGGCTGACAGTTGGCTGCTGGTCTGATTCACTTCCAAACGCCAGAAGAGCATTCCCTGAAACATTCAACATAGCAAATCAAGAAAATCAAAACAAAAACGGTTAACAAACTTCAGCAACATCTTATTTCTGCACGAGTTCCACTCATTTATTATTCAATCACGACAGATGCCTCAGGTTCTGAATTGTACATTTTTCATGAGCAGGTTTGCTGGGCGAGAGCTAGTCTGGATTTGGTCAACAGAGACGAGAGAGAGAGAGGAAAAAAAATAGAAAACTGAAAATACTCAGTATTCTCTTCAAGTAGCCTATCCAAACTGCACCTGCCTACCCACATCGACCTCATTAACTCATAGACCGTTTGCACAGGCCAAACAACTCTGAGACCTCTCTCTGTATCTTTTCTAGGCCGGGTGCTCGAGGAAAGACCAGCCAAAGATTCATCTCGCCGCGCACACACACACACCAAGCAAAGATACTCATTGTGTGTACAGGTTCAATGATGGATATGTGCTCGCTGAGGAAAACATTATAAGGACCATTAATTATTCACACTCCTGAGCAGAGGTCGTGATAGAAATGTGAAGAAGAGAATGAGCATTAGGAAACGAGGCAGAAGACGCAATAGATTACAAGACACCTATGTTGATACCTATCGGTATGGATCCCCCCCCCCCCCCCCCCCCCCCCCCCCCCCCCCCAGTCTAACGTTAACCATCACGGTGTGAAATTAAATGTTATCGTTGTCCGCCAATATTAAGTAAAATAAGCCATCAGGACATCAGCATTTATGCTTTACTGGTCGCAGATCTCTGATAGTGTTACATTGTAAACAACTAATCCGAGTTTAAATCGACAAGAGTCCGTTACATTATGATGCGTTCAGGCTCTGTTCAGTGGGTACCATAGAGAATTTCACACTAACTGCAGAGAATGGAAGTATGTGGCAGCTCATTGCCGGAGTAGATAAGGGGGTGAGGAGAGATGAGTTTGTTTTTTGCATGACAGCAATGCCAATACAATGAGCTGCTACTAGACAAATAGAACCCGCTTGTTGTTTTTATTGTTGTTTTTAATTGCATCTCATGCAGTTTTATGGGCAGTTAAAAAATATTTGGCCTATACATTTTTTTCTGTTTACCTGCCATTGGCAGATAGACCAATTTTTGACCCTGGGGTGATTTGTTATGACTTTGGCCTGACGCGCATGTAAGTTCTGAACAATTTACAACCTATTTATTTATTAGTAGCTTTAGGTACAGTCAGTAAAGCCCCCTGGTAGGAAGGAATGACTCTCAATCCCAATGCAGTTAAGGGTTAAAACAGATCATTACTGTCCACAATCATTAGCAATTTTGTGAAGTTGTTATGAATTAGGTCTCTAACTTTGGTCAATTGTTAAAAAAATAGAAAGTACATCAGGAGGAGATTCAATAACTATACAATTACTGAACTGTCAAAGGGCCAGCTAACTTATAATTCACTAAGAAGTGACTGAACACCCAGGCAGAATTACTAAGGAACAGCAAAGAGGGAGAGCGAGAGAAAGAGAGATCTACATACATCTCACTCTGCGGCTGTTTGAGCATGCTGGGAAACATCTGTCTCACTCCATCCCAACGGCTCCGTCATGTCGCTTTTGTCTATCACACAACTTATTTACTTTGCTTTTCAAATCAGCTTTGTTTTTATGTCCCCAGTTGCAGGTCATCACAGCAAATTATTGTGATTAGCAAACGCTTTTTCTGTATTTCATGTCATAATTAAATTACTCTGGTTTTACCAGCAGCATAGGGAAATGATATGAAAGCAAATCCAAACAAGCACCTGAGGTATTTGTGGAAAGCTGTTGTTTCAGCCCTACAGTGATGGGATTTTCTTTATATGCCTGTTCATAGTCCAACGCTCTGCTATATTTACACCAAGGCTGAAAGCGAACATATGCTTACTTTTTCAGGTTATGTAAATCTGCAGCATAAACACAAAAAGCTGCTTGATGGCTCATATTTCTGGTCTGGACAACATCTATAAATGGTAGAAAATTTGGCTGAAAGAAACTATTTCACATTTTTTTTACAGCTCCTGGCCAAGAAATTGTGTTGAAACTTCTGTCACCGTTAGCTGTTAGCTCTTTTATTCAGCCAAGCAGGGCTGTCGGAAAGCATTGATTAAAGGAATCGAAAGTCACAGAGACATGCGATTCCAAGGTAACTGATAACTGCAAGTTGTGATTGAATGCTGAATTGTAAAATATTACCGTTGGTGTGATAAACACTTGTTATCTGAGTAGACTGTCCAATAATATATTAGTGCATTTCTGATCTTAGACAAACTGTTCTTGTTGCCATCTGATGATGCAGTTTGTGTCCTTGGAGCTGAATAGAAACTGTATTTTACAGTACACTTTGAAATATTCACTATTCATAATATTCACTCACTGCTGTTCGCCTACATTTCCTGTTAAGAGATTTTTTTTAAATTGTCAGCAACTGCATTATGAATCAGTCAAAAAAAAAAGTCTTTCCACTAAATCAGGATGCTAAATTAGTGGTCAAATGTTAACTCCACAGTACCCCTAAACAAACACAACCCCTACCCTGAAAACCTGTGTTGGTAAAATCCAGTACATTAAGTGAGACTCACGGAGACAGATGTTGTCGTTGAAGTGTCCCAGGAAAGTATCACAGTCTTCTCTCCGGCTCCCACTGGCCAAGCAGGAGCACCACGGAGCCACGCTGGACGTTGAGTTGTCGACATAGTTGGGAGTTATTGTGCTTCCTGCAGAGAGAGAGAGCGCACCAGGCCTCAATCAGTATTAAATATTAATTTGTTGCACTGTAGAGCTTTACTATCTGAAATATTAATGGACTCTGTATGTCCTGTACTGACTTGATGCACAGGGTTAATAATATTCTGGTATCGTTCTGTTAGACTGGCTGTGCTCTGACTCGAAGATTCAGGCGATTACTCCAGTTTTCTCTTCTTTTTTTTTTAGGTCATTGTCATGGTCTCTGGTGTTGAGTTTTTTTTTTATTTCTGTGGCTGTTTTTCCCCCTTCAACATAGTGGTGGTGTGATTTCAAGTGCTTTAATAAATACAAGACAGGAATGAAAATGCCAAGAGTGTGTTTGTGCTGAGGGGCAACATTTGCGGTTCTTGAAATGCATTGGGCTTCTCTCTCCAGTGTGAGGAAAAGAAGTGGATGTTCTTTTTTTCTTTTACGGACTGATATAAAACAAATTAAACACACCTTACATTGTGTGAAGAGCCTCTGTTTTTCTGTGTTGAGATATTTGTATGCTTCTTTATCTTAAACCGTGTTGAACTTTTGTCTTTTGGTTTAGAATTAGAAGTTTAATTTTATTCTACCCACTTACTCTTAGCCCGTTTGGTGTTTATTAATTGTCCCTCTAGCTAGCTTTCACTCATTCCCGCCTCTTTGTTGCTGCACAATTTTTCCCTTTCCTTCTCTAACACAGCATATGGTGCATAACTTCCATTAGATCTTTTTCTTCTTCCATCTGTTCATTTCATTTTTCCCTTTTCCTTCCTGTGTTTCCGCTCTGTGTTTCACCTCTCAGATGTGCACCTACCTATGAGCCCTGTGTAGGCGAGCAGACAGGCTCCATAGTTCCCTTGCTTGCAGCTATTGGCAGACGTTTCGGAGGGTTCGCAGTCGAACTGGAACTGTGCCAGGCGAGACCTAGAAAAGTAACGGGCAATAGTTAGCAAGAACATGATAGCTCCCTGTATTGTTTTATCTAAAAAGTTTGCTGGTTCTTTCTTTTTTATACATTATTTCTGCTCTAACTTTCATTTAATTAAGAGTGTAGCCCTCTGGCATGAAGAAAAATTGTTGGACGTGGTGAAGACTGGAAGTATTGGACTGTAATGTGAAAGTGATAGAAAGAGTAATATATTTCATCCACCAGACCTGGGATCATTAGTAAAGCCCTCTGAGTGTAATGGGGCTGTGAAAAATAATGGCCATGACCAGAGATAGCAATGAGCGATAACTCTGATCCATCTGGCTCTTTATCTGTGCTAAATATTTAATGTGTTATTCCAACAGGCTCTCAGGGGTGTTCTAACCAATGGTGGTAGAAAGCTTTAGGGTAAAACAGTGGGCCATTTTGTTGATTGGTTGGCTGTTTATTTGGTTTCAAAGACCCATAATACTGAACAGCACTGGTCCAAATATGTATGGTGTGTATATTTAATACCTATATCCATGGAGTACTTGAATACACTGGGAGTGGTTCAGCATTGGCTTTGCTGATTTGGGATACTATTAGAAACAAATTAGTTCATTAAACCGAACAAAACTGGGGATTATGATCTTATTGCAGCAATATGTTATCGTATCCATAAGAGACTAAGTGGCTAAGTAAGAAATAACTTTAATATCCGTTATAGACACGAGAGTAAGACGGTATGAAATAAATGGGAGCTAATTAAAAGCTCCTATTTAGCTCCCTTCTCACCTGCACACATAGTCGGCGTTGCAGATCCTCATCTGTGTAATGCAGTTGGGTTTTTCCACGCTTTCATAAGAGCAACCGGGTACAATCGTCTGCCTGCGACGCTCTGCGCATGCCGTGTCCGTACAGGGGCAGAAGAGCAGCTCGTGAGTGTAGTCGGCGGGGACTCGGTCGAAGAACCTGCGCAGGGCCTTGTTGCATTTGGGCCGATTGCACAGGCCGGACTTGGCAGTGGGTTTGATGCAAGCCGAGACGTATTCTGTGCGGAGCTTCTGGCACAAGTCGTCCACGTTGCAAGCTTTGGCCGCATCCAGGCAGCGATTCACAGTTGTCATGCCAACATCTGAGTCTGTGGATAGAAAGTAAGGTCAAAGACGAGTGTGGATATCAGTGGAAGAATGAAACCAACGGAGCAAAAAGGTCTTGTGTTTAATAGCTTATGTGATCTGCGGTGTGTACTCAAGTTTATTTATTCAACACGCTGAGATGTATCTTGTTTTGTTCGAGGTTCAAAAGTTGAGGTCGGCAGTTTGGAATTAAATATCAGCTTGGAGGTGGAAGTGTCTCTGAATAAACAATGGAGGCTCATTTCCTGAGGACCAGAATAACGAAATGATTATTAGCAGAGGAGTGTGGTTTCTATTTCTATGCTTTTGAAAAGAGAACGATTTCTTAAAATGAAAAAAAGGACGCAAGTATGACCCAGTGGGCTTCTCTGCGTTGTTCTAATGCTAGCACAAGAAGCAGGGCCATGCCTCTCCACACTACTGATCGAACTTATCACGATGGCTGGCTACCTCAACTGTTAACCTACTATGTGCCATTTTAAGTACACACTGCATTGTGGTATTCCGTTGAGTGATGTCTGTCCACTGTCTGCTGCAAATCCCTCTCATATTTGTTCCACGGGGTTCACCAGAAGGGGAGGGACTTCTTCTCTCGATGAGGACAGTAAAACAAAAGCTGATTTCAGTACGATTCGGGAAATGCCTAAAACTCTTTTTAGTATCTTTAAAATCAGATCCGATGACAAGTGTAACTTGAGTCTAGCTAGTGTTGCGTGATCTGCAACGAGAACATCAAGACAGCTTCCTGTTTTTTATTGCATCAGTGAATAAAGCAAGCCTGAATTTATGAACGGTCATGTTTGGTGTGAGAGTGAACCCCCGGTCCTCCGTGTGGCAACTTCTGAATGGACCTTTTGTATTCATGTTGCCTGGGAAATGAGCAACAGGCTGACCTGTTTGAGCTTCAGGGATCAGTCATCAGTTGTTTTTCTGCAGTGCGTTTATAGTTTTGTAACATTGATGGGTGTTCTGGTCGGATTGGTAGATGGATATATAGCCTACATATGCAAATAAATCCTCTAATGCAAGTTATACCCATGAACAAAAAATGATCATAACGTTGCCACATTTTGAATGCCTTACGCTAATTTCAACCTCACTTAATGTTATTTTACTTGCATTAACCTAACCTTTAGTAAACCTTCCACGTTGTTATTTAATACCGGGTTTGTAATTTTTCTATCTACAAGATTTAATATGCTTTTCAGAGTTTGACCATGTTTTAATTCAATGAGATTGCATTGTTTTTTTGAGCCAGAGGCTATAAGAAACAATTAAAGATTTGAGGATATTCTATTATTATGAGTTAGTAGTTTAGCAAAGTTCCTGCATCAATATTCATTGACAGTCATGCAAATGAATATGGATGCCATCCAACAATATCGTTCTGGATGTTGGAATTGTGTTCAGATGAATGATAATATTTGTGTAACTGTGTCTTAAAAACAGAAGGGACCTCTATTTGCTTTGGGCATGCTTCCAGAGGAGCTTCAGTTGAGTCACGTATTTGTGCTAGAACAGAACTTCTTCAAAGGGTAAAATTGTATAAAATAAGGTGAAACTTAATGAAGGTCAGTGAACTTGCCAGCTGTAATAGATGCCAAGCGGACATAGTCGTAATCCCTGTGCACCGTCTCATAGGGATAATTCTCCACCAGGTTGAGCCCTGAAAGAACGATAGAAACCTGTGGTTTTCAGCTACTGAATGAGAATAAAACAAAAGTTCTGATTTGTACAGATTCACAAGTGATATTCAGTATGCACTGACCATGTATGATGGACTGATGAAGGCTCCAGTAGATGCTCAAGCAGTTCTTCTCCTTCTTCATGCCCCGTTTACACTGGCAGCCATGTAAGGGGCTCGACAGCAGGGCGGACACCGCGTTGGCACACTGGCTCCTGGCACCGGGCCCCAGCTTCACGCTGCCATTGCCCGCCACACACTGACGCAAAGTCCGCAGACGTGGACTACAAGTCTCATCGCTCGAGCACGAGTCTCCAGCCACCAAGCAGTCTCTGCCGGCCAGTATAACCTCTAACAGAGCTGTGAGAGAGAGAATCAGAGCACAACAGATGGCACAAAGATGAGGGGGGATTTGAGATGACGGTTGAGGTGTGTATAGATTAAATGGAAAATAAAGAATAATGGAGAAGTCTGCTGAAGTCTGACCCAAATGTCAGGAATAAGAAAGGATGAGAGCAGAAAAGGGAAGCGGGGAACATTTTGACAGAAAATAAATGTTGCAAGGGGATATTAAGCATTAAATTATATCAGCTGGGTGGCTTATTGTGTAAGTCTGAAAATGCAAGAATACACAGGTGAGATTCTCTAGCAAGCACCATTACAGCACTTGAGATGCATCATACATCTTTAGTTTGGTGAAAATATTATATGGGATGGACTGTCTTCAGTCCACTATTTTCAGGATGAGGGTCAATCAAGAAAGATTTACTGTACAGTTTTTTATTTCATGGTTATAGGCACGGTAGCTGACTAGCTCTATGGATGCAATGTCTGTCTGTCTGTCTGTCTGTCTGTCTGTCTGTCTGTCTGTCTGTCTGTCTCCATCCGTCCGTCCACCTCTTTGTTCCAGACAAAGATTAACCCAACAACTGCTAGATGGATTGCAATGAAATTTAGACATTCATTGTCCCCGGAGGATGAATCCTTGTGACTTTAGTTTAACTTTTTATGTAATACAAGAGGTCGACATTCATGGTTTTTCCGTCAGGCCAACATTTAATGTGTCAAGTACTTTAGTTTATTACCAGATACCTGCAAAACTAATTCACATTTCCATCAAATGTACTTTGTGTTTAGTGCTAATTGGAAGATTGAGTGAGTTAAACCAAGAAGCTGATAAATGGTAAGTGACTGCATTTATTTATATATATATATATATATATATATATATATACATACATACATACATACATACATACATACATACATACATACATACATTTGGACAAAGGAAGGAATACAGTCCTCTCTCTTTGCTTTTAAAAACACGATTATATAAAGCAGATCAACTGATATGTCGGTGGTGCAATATCAAGAATTGTTTTTTTTAACCTTGACTTTAAGAAAACTGTTTTTGTATGAGGTGTTTTATCAAAGTATCTTAACCCATTACCTCTATTTAATTGATAATAACTTGGCTCTATTTCATTACAATGATAACATGCTCTGTGACGATGCATTATCTCACAACTTGGCCTGCAGGCTGAATTTCTGGAACTGTTCTTACTAACTTCTCGCAGAGTTTAAGTTATGAAACCATGAATTTTTATTGCATGCTGAATATATGTGAGTGGCAGACTTATACATATGCTAAACCATGCTCTGAGTCTGACTGACTCACCTTATCATGAGTAGCTTTGACCCCTTCAGTTCAGCTGAAGTCTATTCAGCGAGCCAGAGAGCTTGGAATATTGTGTGTGTGTGTGTGTGTGTGTGTGTGTGTACAGAATGTACAGAGAACAAGTGAAAGGCCCATAGATTTATTCATGTGTTGCTGTGGTGAGAAGCCCAGTACCATGTCAGTTTATTGAACTCGATCCCAGTGAGCCAACATAACAGCTGGTGAGATGGGAGCTGCTGGTTTTCTCATGCATCGCTGGGCTTTGATGGCAGGATAGATACTTCGGGTAAACATTTGGGATGCAGAGAAAAGTGAAATGTATGTTAAGTCATGTCTATACTGTACTAGTAGTTGTAGCATACAAGTGGCAATACATTACGATTGCATTATATGATGCTCTTTGTTTGTGTATCTCGCAAACAGCCGACACATGGAGGCATATTAATATTGAATTTAAATGTAATTAACGGCTGTGGTTTTCATTTCCTGCCGTGTATCTTGACTTTGAGTTGAGTCGTCACAGGCAGTGTTTGTTTGAGGGAACACGGCTCTATTGCACATAGAGACAGAGGGTTCTGTCTGTGGTTAGGTGTAGGCAACAAAAGCACTTTGGTTGAGGTAGGCAAAGATTGTGGTTTTGGTTAAATGTTGACAAGCCCGCTGTGTCTTGTTATTCTTTCTGTAATAACCCAGAACACGATGTGGTCTGATGGATGTTTAAAATTCAACTCTATTGCAACCAGCTGGTAAGAGTAATATGCAGGAGCTCTCACAAAAACATAATTATATGCATCATGATGTTGACCCCAGGCGTAATAACGGAAACGGTTAACATGTTCATTGCAGATGTTTTTGTCATATAGCTCATAAGCCACATAAAATACAGACCCTTGCTGCAGTTAATTGCTGTGGAGGTGGAGAATTTTTTGAAAAGAGCTGCCACTCTTCTTTTGTCTTTCTTCTAGTGCTCTCTTTGTAGGTTTCTTTTTTTTTTTTAAATCATACAGTTGCTGAAAAAAGAGAAAAGAAAGCCATTTTCTTTGCAGCCCTGCTGTCAATTAGTGTTTGTGACACGTTTACATGTTGTCTTACATGATGTTTTACTCCTTATGTGTATCCAATTAAGTCAAAAAATACATGCTGCTATCAAGAGTTGTCTTTAGAATACTTTTTTTTTTTTTTTTTACATTTGTGTTCTCAGTTTATTCTAAAAACATATTCCTAAGCATGACCCACAATAAGCCAAGAATATCCCCTTATTCAAACACTTTAAACTCGTACCACCTCTGTTTTCTACCGTAATGTGGTTTTGATGTTAATTATTCCATTTCATGCTGCTTACATCCGCTAACACTCAAGATGTTTCTTGGGCAAAATTGTCTCAGCTACTGTTTTGATCTTTAAAACACACACGCACGCACGCACGCACATACTCCAACAAAGACCGTAATAAACCAACATGTTTTCCGTTTTGTCAACACCATTCCATCAATAGCATGTGCCTTTTTAAAGGTGGATCTTTAATCGAACCCTACAGGTCAATTGAGTCTCACTCGCATCAGGAGTTATTTAAGCTTTCATCCTCTATGTCAGCTACGTGCATCCAATACCGACGTGTTAATGCTGGGAAAAAAAAAAAATAAACCAACGCCAATGTCTGACCCAAGGCCAGATGGTCTGTTGCAAATTCGAGGCAGAGTTCCCAGGCCCGTCCTGCTATGTGTGGCAGTTTGTGCTGCCTGGGCAGAAGCTGGAATAGACACCATACATCATGAATGCAAATGAGCCGCTTGATTTGACATTTCCAATAAGCCCGTCTCTATGTACCAGTGGGTTTAGCCAATTAACCATGTCAGTAATCAATGTGTTCTGAGGCTCAGTTAATGCCTCAGTTTCCCTGCCACATAAATCATTTGCAGATTAGCTGATCAGTTACCCTCGCGCACCGACGTAATGGTCCACTTCAGGGGAGATAAAATGAAACTTAATGAAGTCAGCTGGAATGTAACCCTAACTCCTATATACCTACAAAGAAGTGAGGCGTGGGAGGAAAATTATAATTTATTGGTGCACTTAATGAGTATCACCTTTGTTTCAGTGCTCTTTAAAGGTGCAAGATTCGAGATTGTCAGCATTTTGATTGCCTTTGAACGGCTAGTAGCCATTACTCCACTATATCTTTACACAGCGAATAGTTGTTTGCTGATATTTAATGTTCACAATGTTAATACAGCTCCGGCAAGATTTGGAAATGATCTTGATAGTCGGATTAAAACTAGCAGCCTCACATTTAAAGTGAGCAGCCTCCACCACCGATACAACGGAGGTTCAGGTTCAGGTTGCTTTTATCATGACTCAAGCCATCTGGTTTCTGGCAGCTACTTCTGCATATTTTCAGCTAGAAAACTCAAACTTTTGAATGTTATTATAGGAACAACTTGTACGACAACAAAAGATTGACTTGTCACCTTTCAAGTTGATATGGTAAACTTCTTAGCAAACAGTTGCTTATTTACCAGCCGTTACAGAGCAGCATTATCATTCATTCGGAGTTGTTTCTACTCAAAATCTGAACTTCTGCCTCTTAACCTCCGCTATGTTCACTAGCTTGTCACTCACTGTGTCTGTCTGCAGTCTAAAAATCTGTGCAAACGGAGTTACATTTAGCTGTTTGGTTGCCAGGTTCAACAATTAATGCTGAATTTCTACGTCTTGAACATATCTATTTGATCACGAGTCTTGTACTTGTAACACTACTAGTCTTCCTTCAGTTCATGTTGCTTTTGCCACCGCTGCTTCCCCAGCTTATTAAGCAAGTTACGCAGTAAAGGAAGCTTTAATCAATCACATATATGTATTGTCTTCAAAAACTACATTTTTCCAGATGTGAATCCCTTTGAAATATCAACTTGAACCAAAACAGGTTTTTGCGAGGAGACAGACATTCATAGACTGGTAAATGTGCTTCAGCATTTTAATTCACTTATAAAGAGTCATTAAATGTAAAGGTTTAGAAGTGACACACTTTAATGAAAATCCAAGTGAATATTAAATGTGGCTTATTCTTTATTGATCTCCTGCTGGTCACAGTCAGCTCCTGAATTATAACACTTTGCCTTTGAGAGAAAAGTGAAGTTCATCATATTGTGAAAGTCAGGTGTCCTTTTGTGTCCTATTTACATAGTTTGTTTTATAAGTGACAACTTCTAGGACCTCAGCAGTTAAGATACTGGCTTAAGTGAAAATAAACTGTTCTACTAGTGTCATCTTTGCAGAGATGTAGCCTGTATTTCTCTGAGATAGATTGTTGCTGTCTGATACTCTACATAAGACAACATCATTTGCTTTTATGGGACAAAATTAGCTATTTCAGATATCAAAGCAGAGCAGATTGAATTTGGCAAAATGAGACTGAAAATATCCATCTACATTCAAAATAAAGCAATGTCAGCTCCACTCATGCTTCATGTTAGACATCAAACAAAAAGTGCACCAAGACCTAGAAAAGCACAGGATTGAAAAACGAGCACTTCAATAATACTATGTTGGATATGTGGTACGCATACCTATTTTTTAAATTCAGTTATTCCTTTTCCAACAGTGGGTATTTTCAACCTTCACTAAGAGAAAATGACACATATGCCATATTAATGATTTATTCCAAACTGTGATGATAAAA